GGTTAATCCAAGCAGCGGGACTTTGTCTTTCATTTTTGAAAATTTAGTTCAGTAATTGCAGCTCCTGATGATGATGGCAAAGTCCATTGAAAGCTAGAGAGAATTAAAAAAAGTATAAAGAGTCCTCTTTGCTTAAATTTTGTCGAAGTACCCAACAAAAGGCGGAAGCTTTAATTTTTCACCTAACTGGTCTAGACGACAATGACCACGTCTCAAGTTATATATATATATATATATATATATACAGGTATATATATATATATCAGATACAGGGTGTGCTTTTTTCGAGCCATATGAAACAAAGTCGATGATGAGTAAGAAGTGCGAATAGAAAAGTTTCATGTCTGGATATTCCTTAAAAGAAGAAAATAAAAACTATTTGGGCAAATTTTAGTTTTTCGCTAAGCTATGAAATTTTTACAACCTTCTCGTGGCAAGTAAATACGTAGAAATTCATACATTTTTGTAACTTTTATGTACTTTTAATAAGGTCCTCGGCAGACAAAACGTTTGTCAAGCTTTTTACTGATGTATCACTGTAGACATGATGGATGGCAGATAACCATAGGGTAAATTTTAGGAGATATTTGTATTTAAAAGAAATTTAGCTTCTTCTTATTTTGGATCGTTTTATTTATTCTTTAAACCTAGAATTCAATCAGTATGCCCTTTTGTTTCTTTTAGTTATCCAAATCATTCTACACGAGAGTACAACTCAAATTCAATACAAAATCGATATTTTTATAATTTACTGAATATGACATACGTAAGGTAATTTTTGGTAAATTGTATCGCATGTAGATGAATTGAGCGAAAAAATCATTAGGATCTAATGCATGTGCCCCCACATGGATTTCTTGATGGTTAAGGACAATGCTTCTCAATGTGGATTCAACTTTGTAACAATCCTGCACTTCAATAACCAAAAATCATCCATTGGCTTAATTCAGCATGCGGCGTTGAAATTACCAGAAGCAAACATCATTTCTGCTGCTAAACTATCGAATCGGCAACGATGTCGGGAAACCCTTCGAGCATAATTATATAAGACTTATACAGGGTGCCTCAGTTACACTTTGTGTATGGTGCCATAACTACATAATTTATTATATACGTATAAAATTTGGGTGCTACAATTACGTTGAAATTCATGGGTGCCGGTATGACAAAATAACAAATATATATATATATATATAGATATATATCTATATATAGATATATATCTATATATATACATATATAAAGCGAAAATGATGATGCGGAGAAAGGTATATAACAAAAGTGGGAAAATAATGGGCAAAATCTGCAAAAAGTAGGAACGTGAATTCAAGCAGAAAATAGGATAGGTAACCCGAGCGAAACGTATTTCTGCTGGTTAGCTTCATCAGGCCCAAAATGAAGGCACATATGCAACTACAAAAGAAGATACGCATGCCCATACATCCGGATACGGGTGTAACTTGAGGAAACGAAGATGCTGAGGGGGGGAGGTAGACACTACTTTGAGAATGCTAAATTCTGACTTGGCAAAAATCATACATTAGTTAAATGTAAATAAACGAAAACTGAATGTTTCTAAAACAAAATGTATGCTAATATGAAAATTACTAAATGAAATTACTGTAACAGTAAGGATAAGTGGTGGAATAATTGAAAATGTTGATTTAATTGAATATTTAGGTATATATATTGTTAGTACACTAAAGTTTGAGGATCACTGGGGATACATCATTTCAATACTTGACAAAAAAACAAATTACTTTTATATGGCTTCTCATTGTCTTAGTACATATTCCATAAAAAATAGGTTATAATACAATTATTTTATGTATTCTATGTATTCTCTAAAATTACAGGTCCTGCAAAATAAATCTATAAGAATAATTTTGAACAAAAATACACCAAATGACATAGAAAATGTAACACCGGCTATGAGTGCTGTAATTTTGAACATACTTTCACAAGTTTTAGATCTACTGATAAATAGAAAGTGGTTAGAATTTGAACTCGTAATTTTGCAAAATAGATGAGATATCCCACCTCAATCTTAATAATGTGTTGGAACTCCTCTGTTCGCAACACATTCATGAAGTCGTCGCTGCATTGTTTGGATTAGGTGATTGATGTCTTCTTTTTGTATTGTATCCCAATCCATCTGAATTTTGTTCCGTGGTGCCTCCATGTTTGTGGAGGATCCAGAGAATTTCTCAACCTTCTTCACATCATGTCCCATACATGTTCGATGGGGGAAAGGTCTGGAGATCGAGGAGGCCACTTAAGCAGATTTACTCCGGACGCTTCTGGAAAGTCTAAACAAACACGTGTGACATGAGGTCGTGCATTGCCCTGCTGAAAAGGTGGATCTTGCAATGTTTCCAAAAAGGGGAGCAGACGTGGTTGTAAAACTTCGTGGATATAGTGCTGTGCAGTCATGCTACCTCGATTGAAGACTAATCGTGACATGCTGCCGTAAGCAATGTGACCCATACCATAACACCCACAGTGCTATGAATTTTTTTTTATACCGAAGCAGTAAGTATATGCTGTTCGATGGAACATTAGTCTTCCACCTCGTCTTATTCTTACCCTTGCACGGCCATAAACAGAATCTTGTGTGATCGTTGAACACGACTGAGTTCCATTCCACATTCAAGTCTCTCCCTACTCGATACCAATCGTTGCCGACGATGCTGTGGGGTCAGGGGTAGTACAAGATGGAGACGGTATGAAGACGTTCCAAAAGAACTTATTCTTCGATAAACTGTCCTTTTCGTTATTGCCCTTCCGACATCATCAAACCACTGATTCGTAGCTATTTACCTCAAATAACGATCCTGTGGCCCTCTAGTCTGTCTTTGACGTCCAGTACCTCTAACTCATCGATTTCGACCTTCTTGGGACCACGCTTCACAACATTTCATTACAGTAGCTTCGCTTCGATTCACCCGATTAGCGATTTCTCTAGAAAAAAACACTTAACCCGATTATCCGACCCCTCTCAAACTCTGAAAGTTGAGTGAAATTTGCGCGTCTGTGAAATCTAGGCATGATAATGCAATGAAACAACAATGAAACAAATGGAACCAATAGAAAAAATCACTGAATATTAAGTAAACATGTTCATATTGTTCCGATCCTGATAAAAACAGCGTTTACAAAAAAAATACGGCTCGGAAAGCCTTCAACATTTTATAAGCGTATACTTTCATGATAGCAAATATGTTTTTATTAAAATTCAATAAACAAGTCTGGGTGTTGCAAGTATACAAAAAAAATCTATGTTACAAGAATTGCAGTGGTTGAGTACAAAGAATTTCGTATATTTGGTTCTTATCTTTATATTTAAAATGAGAATCATTTTTTCCACAACATTTAGAACAATATTTTAGAAAGGATTACTTGAATTTAATAAACTAAATACACAAATGACATAAAGTCTACCTTTAGTTTAAAGATGGTTGAAAAAAAATTAACGGGATATTTCATGGACAGTAAAAATTCTTAGAGGTGAAAATTTTATTTTTCTTAATATCGGTATAAACTTTTTTTTAGTTTTTAAACAGAATGTAATTGTAGCAATCACGCTAAATAAATCTTAAACAAATAAACCTTTCTACATATAGCATCCATCCTCATTTATCCTAATGTTGGCACCTAAACACTTGAACTGCTTGGATTAGAAGATACAGATAGCAAAGTACAAGACAGCTTAGTAATTGAACTAAATTGTTTGTAACTAATTTACTTTATTAATATGTATATGTATGTGAAATACCACTTTATACCTAGTGTCTTGATTCCTGGGCTATCTATCTATTCCTGCTTATTGATCGGAAGTGTATATTAAATAATTCAGAGTTCCATTTATCTGCCCCATTCTGACAATTTAATAGCCCTTCGACGTCGTAAATGGTTACCGGATGATCTAGCGAAGAGCATTAAGACTAATCTTGACTTTTTTGGTGAATTATTTATTCAACTGAAGTAAAGTTAATATGTCGATCTGGTAATCCAAAAACCTGACAGAGTCAAAGGTAAATAAATGACAAAGAGAGTGAAGGAAGAAAATAAATGCAGCTATTAGTAAAAGAAGCGATTAGGTAGCGACTGAAGTAATGTTTATTCTCAAAAGAAATAGTTTTAAAGCAAACGTTTTGGTAAAAAGTTTCCAAGAGAAGACGTGGAGAAACATTAATTTTGATCATAATGCTAGTCGCAACGAGGAGTGTATGAAAAAATGCTTAGGGTACAGGCCAGAGATCCCTTTTCAGTTTAGTGAGTAGGGTTCAACTTACTTATCAATGGTTTCCTAATAGTTGCCATTCAGACTGAATGCTCATTGTGTAGGCACAGGGTGTGGCAGCATAGCTTGAACTTGATACATCCAACCCTTTATGTTGGCCAGTAAAAAATCTAGCCAGTTTCCGTATTCCTACTCAAATTTATGTTTCCATTTTTGAAAGAAAAGTTTCAAAACGCCGGTCCGATATACATTTTATACAACGAAACAGCATAATAACCTTATTGTACTAATTTTTTATGCCTTAAACTTTAAACGAAAAGTTAATCAGAACACAACCCTACTGGCTAAGGCTACTTATATGATCACTCACTACGTTTAATGAAATTAATTAATAAAACTATTGCAAATGTCAGTAGCACTCGTGATCGTAACCAATACAGAACCAGCTGCTTTGTGAGAATGTATCCCTTAGTAATATGAAACTGTGCAAGGCTTCGATGAACGACGAGATCCCCTGAGGAGTTTTGATGTTCCGTCAAAGTAAAATCAAGGGGGTAAATACACAACTTCACTATAATGTTCTATAAGCTTGTATATCAGAGAAACAAACAGGATATTTGACTGTAAGTTGAAGAGTAAACAAAGCAAATAGGATGTTGGCATAATAATGCATTCAATATTCAGTATATTTAAACTTAGTTCTATATTACTAGCAAGCACAAAGTGCTCTGATTTATAATAAATTATTCATTTTCAGAGAAGGTCAACAATCCCAAGAAGAGTGGCATCGACTATATGGAAGATGTTCAGGAAATGAAATCTATCACATAGTTTTAGGAGATAGCAGATTTTTTGGTGAATATGAGGGGAAGAGTTTCACATATGCCAGCTTTCATTCTCATAGAAAGTAAGTAATGCTTATCAATCTGTTTTGTTTGGTACCAAATACAACATTAATTGCTTCTTTTACAATCAGTAGAAAGTACCTCACACACCAAAATGCATGGTTGAGCTGCAACAAGTTGCAGCATCTACAACCTCTAAAATTTGCAAATATTTTTACGGAACCCTATCGCTAAAAAACTACACAACTTCTTTCTATTTGCCATAGCAGCAAACCAATACCAAGGTTTCGTCAATATCCGAGTTGTACTTTTGAATCTATAAAAAATCAAACCGCAACATCTTGTATTTCATTAACGAGTGACATTCCACTGAAGCGTGTTTAGTATCGTTCTTTTCACTAGTTTAATGTCAGATTCTTTCTTGCTAAATTCATTACAGAGCATTTTGTGCAGAGAGGCCACTCACTATTATTTTTTTAATAATTGCTCGGCCACCGCTGGACCAGCATGAAAAACCATAGAGATTTGTCATGTTTGTCGTAACAGAAACCTAGTGATGAAACATTATAAAACCTTTATAAAACCACAGAACACCTTATGTATACGTAGAAGGAAAGGCCAGTGTGAAAATAGTGGCCTCTGTTAGTGGCGCCATCTCTTGTGAGGTGTATGTAACTCAACGAAGAGAAAATGTTATCAATAAAAAACAGGTTATAAATAAAATACAGATTCAGTCGCATGATGGCATCTGCAGAAAAATCTGTTTCACAAACAAAATGGATTCAATGGCCAAGCTAAGGTTTTAATTGCCTGTGTGTGCTTTTGGATTTGGTATTGTAAAATTCTGGTAGTTGCATCTTTTGAAGTGTCAACTTATCAAGCACCTATGACACGGAATTACAGAACATGCACAAATGATATGATATTTGTGCCCGGCATCTAGCGTGAGATGTATGATACTTGTGGCTCTAGCGTCTAGCTTGTAAAAATCTTTAGGAATATGTACACAATATGCTCAGTGGAAAAAGAATATCAAAACCCATTTGTATGCCTCTTAGTGGTCTTAATATGCTGCCCACCCCTCAATCAGATACTTCTTTGAAGTGACAATAGTAACATAGTCATTGTAGTAAAATAGTGTTATTCGAGAAATAGCTTCTCGTAGGGTAGCTTCTCCTCCGTTGAAGCGTAAGAAAAGACTTATATTACTTGCAATAAGAATTATTTATTCGTACTATTTGAGATGTAGTAAGCTCACTCAAATCACAACCTATGCGACTAGGCAAAAAACGGCTTCGCTTCATGAACTTTTTAATCGCCTTAAATCGAGTTGATGGAATGAAAACATTTGATCAACGTCAGTTGAAAAGCACAACCGAAATCACGTCGTCCATAAGTGTGATGTCTACTAGTTTTTCATTTTAGAATATAGTAAACTGGTAATCTAGAATTATAAGCAGCCTCAAAATGAGGTATTATGTGTCCAACATTCCATTTGAAATATACTAACATGGCGCTCAGCCGCTGTCTTGAAATTTCCAACCAATAACCAGTCCAAAAAATGGCGTTAAGTCTTAACTCATTCCATGCAACACTGTGATCAATTCATGAAGGATTATGTTCGGTATAAATATACTGCCGCCAACAAAATGAGATTTACCTTTCTCAACCCTCTACAACGACCAAATCCAGTTTTCAACCCCTGCAAGCTTGTTTCTAAAAATAATCGGGAGGCTGTGGAATGTCAAAAACAAACGAGCGGTTTTTATTTCTATTTTATATTCTCGCCTCTAGCTCTACCGCCTCTGGACCGATTTTTAAACACTATAACACTGGGCTAGAAGTAACTTTTGTAGAAATTTCATTGAAATCCGAACAATACTTTCCAAGTTACAGGCGCTCCAAAGCTTAGCTAGCGGAGAGACAAACCGACAGACATGAGTGACGTGGTTTTTTGTGATGTACTTGTCATAAAACATTAAAAAACATAATTTCTTATTTTTTAAAGTAGGTCGAGGGAATGAATATAAGTGCTCAGATGAGTGTTTTTGAAAGACACTGTTTATACTGGGAGGGTCAAACAAGGTAAACATCTAAAGTGCTATAGAAAGACTATACACGGGTCACGTACCACTACCAATATTCGACTTTCTTAGAGAAGCAGAGCTGTCAGCTAGAATATTCTGGAGGCTAGTAAAGGATGATTGCGGGATTACCACTCGCTATAAGCGTAACTAGCCTTCCTAGAGCAGACAGTGACAAAAATGGTAGCAGATTCCGTTATTCTCAGTAGCCTCAAGATGTTAAAAAGGCTATTATCTGAATTAGGACTTTTTCATGATCACGGCTACGTGAGAGTAGTAGAAGCATTTTCTCTCGTTCATATTGGATTGAGAGCCAGAAGACAATACATCAGATCAAATATCATCCAGTCGAGATTCAACCGATAAACCTCTTACACAGTTTGGTTGCCCCAAGTTGCAGGTACACATCGGGTCTCGTAATGGGAAAATTTAATCCGCTGTCACAAAACTGCGTTTTATTTTCAGAGTGGAGGAGAGGATAAAGGCACTCTTCCTAATTGGATTCGCATTCTATTAGCTTTGTACTGTCAGAGGTGGAGATACAAAATATAATGGAATGGGCGTTCTTATAAATCAGTCAGATGCTGTAGTTAATTGAATACGTTACAGTTTAGCTGCAATAAAAGCACCAATAATAAACCAAGCAATTGCTCCTAACCACTAAAGATACTCATAGTTCGATAGGTTACAACTTGAGTATTCGAATAAAATAACAAGAAGTTCCAGATACATCTTGTACCACCAAAGCTCATAAATTAGACAAAAAGCAGAATGGGCGCTTTGGTACGCAGACCAATAGCAGTAAGTTATATATCGTTAGATACATCTCATTTTATACTTAAATACTTTAAGTACTCCTACCCTTTTCGAAAATAAAGAGCATTTCCTGTCAGTGGATTTATTTTAGGGTACTTGTTTATTTGATCATAAGAAAAGTTCTGCTAAATGTATACAATTGTGACTGGCAAAATGTCATTAGATACCACTACCGGAGAAGTCAATAACTTTCAGTGAGGTTACTGTGACCTGAGTCCACCCTGTATCTAGGACATTGGTAATTTCTAATTTGTCTGTGGTTTGCATTGCATCATGCTGTATGCGTAGGACTGTTATTTACATCCATGCATATCTCGTGGTACACGGAATTCTAGGCTATTGTAGGATTATTACAAGTATACAAGGTGGCCCATCAATGTGTGGATGGAATATTACCCATTAACAAATACATTTTGGGAAAATTTATTTATGGCATGTTATACATGACATTTGATGGCACATTTATAAAATATTGGCAATTATACAGGGTGTCTCAATTTTGACCTATATATCAAAGATGCGATTTTTCAAATTGAATATCTCAAATTTTATTGCATATTTGGATAAACCAATTCAAAAGAAGAAAATTGATATGACATACTATGGGGTTTTGGTAATTAGCTACTGAGATGTAAGGTGTCTGTCCAGAAAAACCGTCCACATCGGCAACCCCTCAATCCGCCATTTTGAAATTTGCAGTGCTGAATTTTATATGAAAAAAAACTTACGCACCTCAGCTTTTATCTTATTTCTTACTTTTTCGAATTTTCATTTTTGCTCATACAGAGAAAATTGATATGACATACTATGGAGTTTTGGTAATTAGCTACTGAGATATAAGGTGTTTTGTCTAGAAAAACCCCCCACTTAGGCAACCCATCAGTCTGCCATTTTGAAATTTGGAGTGCTGAATTTTGTATAAAAAAAAAGTTACATACCTCCGCTTTCATCTTATTTGTTTCTTTTTCGAATCTTGTAATGTTTGCAAATTTCAAATACATCACCCTGTATATTTGTGCAACTTTGGATTCAACCTTTCATAAGCTTTTTTTTAATACTAGACACATAAGGATTATTGCGGCTATTTTGTCGGTTATTAGGAACGGCTTAATTCCCTAAAATATCGCATCATCTTTGGAAACAAATAAATTGTTGATTAGTTACAAACTGTCAAAATTAGGTTTGTGAGCATTATGATAAGAACGTGTTTGAAAATGAATTTTTCTGATGAAGAAATGGAGAATATGGTGTTCGTTTTGGGCGAATCCCAAAGAAATAGTTTCCTAGCATCTCGCATTTATAAGCGACATCCAAGGCCGGAAACATTTTCCACACTACGTATGTACTTCCAACATGACGGCGCACCTGCGCATTATCATAATCCGGTGCGTAACTATTTGGGCACCTGGAGTAACAATCGTTGGATTGAGGTTTATACAGGGTGCGGAGAGAATACGGACTTTTTTGGGATGGGTAGTACTCTCCGCCTCCGTCTACGGAAGAGGTGGGGAGGGTGCCGTTTGACTCGTGAGATCCTAGCATTATTTTACCAGTTGTCGTTATGGAGCCTTGGACGGTGGAGCACCGCGTTTTCGCTTATGATTGTTTCGTCCGAAATAATGAGTCAGTCATCGTAGCATAGCGTGAGTTTCGTCGCCACTTCAACATTCATCGGAATAGAGCTGTTCCTTCTCGAAAAACCATCCTTCGTTGGGTTGAATCACGCAGGCGTGGTGAACTGATCAACAGAAGGCCAAGAGGATCGCCGCAAACAGTTCGAACTCCTGAAAATGTTGAACGCGTTCTTCGTAGTCCGACTCGATTTGCCCGGAAACATGCTGCTGCACTTCGCCTTAGTGATCGTTCGGTAAGGCGAATTTTGCATATGGATCAATATCGATCAAAATGAGAACCTCATTTTGTTTATGTGACGAAGCCCACTTTAACCTAAACAGCATGGTTAACCAGCAGAATTGTCGTTATTGGGCTAATGAAAATCCGCAACAGTTACACGAAAGACCGCTGCACAGCCCAAAAGTAACGGTTTGGTGCGCTGTATCGCAAACTTGCATCATTGGCCCTTACTTCTTCGAAGACGGTAATGGTCGTGATGTTACCGTGAACTCAGAGCACTACGTCGACATGATCACCAACTTCTTTCT